AATCTCCAAAAGGCATCAAATTACAGATTTAGACATTCTTATAATATGTCAACAAAAGTTAGATTTTATTTCCATCATTTATACACTTTCAAAATAACACAAAACAAAAAAATGGCGTCTGCAAAAGTTTGGGCACCCTGCAGAGTTAATACTTGTACTGCCCCCTTTGGCAAGTAATCACAGCTTGTAAACGCTTTTTGTAGCCAGCCAAGAGTCTCTCAATTCTTGTTTGAGGTATCTTTGCCCATACTTCCTTACAAAAGTCTTCCAGTTCTTTGAGATTTCTGGGCTGTCCATCACGCACTGCTCTTTTAAGGTCTATCCATAGATTTTTCAATTATGTTGAGGTCAGGAGATTGTGAAGGCCATGGCAAAACCTTCAGTTTACGCCTCTTGATGTAATCCCCCGTGATGATTTGGAGGTGTGTTTAGGATCATTATCCCATTTGTAGAAGACATCCTCTCTTTAACTTCAGCTTTTTCACAGATGGCATCAAGTTACCATCCAAAATTTGCTGAAATTTTTATTGAATCCATTTTTCCTTCTACTCGTGAGATGTTCCCTGTGCCACTGGCTGCAACATCAACCCCAAAGCATGATTAATCCAACCCCATGCTTAACAGTTGGACAGAGGTTCTTTTCATTAAATTCTGTGCCCCTTCTTCATCAAACGTACCTTTGCTCATTCCGGCCAAAAAGTTAAATTTTAACCTCAATACGGTCCACAGAACTTGTTTCCAAAATGCATCAGGCTTGTCTATATGTTCATTTGCAAAGTTCAAACGATGATTTTTGTGGTGAGGACGTAGAAGAGGTTTTCTTCTGATGGACTCTTCCATGAAGACCATATTTGTACAAGTATCTCTTCTATTTATAGGTGGAATAGTGTACCACAACTCCAGTGTCTGCCAGATCTTTCTGGAGGGATCGTGCAGTCAAACGTGGGTTTTGAATTGGTTTTTTCACAATCCTGCGAGCTGTTCTGTCTGATATTTGTCTTGGTCTTCCAGATCTTACTTTAACTTCCACTGTTCCTGATGACTGCCATTTCTTAATTTACATTCCAAACAGAGGATATTGACATCTGAAAGCGCTTTGCTATCTTCTTATAGCCTTCTCCAGCTTTTGTGAGCGTCAACTATTTTCAGTTTCAGTTTTCTAGACAACTGCTTAGAAGAAACCCCGATGGTGCTGATTGTTGGGGCAAGGTCAGATGAGTCTGGGCATTTAAAACCTTTGAGCTTGACATCACCTGGTCATTCCCAGACGATGATTGAGAACAATCAATGGAGCACATGGCAGGGTTCTCAGCGTTGCAAAGGGGGCGGCTGTGCATGCTATATTAAATTCTGCATGGGTGCCCAAACTTTTGCAGACGCCATTTTTTTGTTTTCTGTTATTTTCAAAAGTGTAAATGATGGAAATAAAATCTAACTTTTGTTGACATATTATAAGAATGTCTAATCTGTAATTTTGATGCCTTTTGGAGATTTTTTTTATCTTTCCTTGGCTTCTTTATGCACATTAATACAAATTTTTAGCTGGGGTGCCCAAACTTTCGATCCCACTGTATCTATCCAACGCTCCATTCAGCATTACCTATAACGCTGCCCACCTCCCCCTCTCTCTCCCTCTCTGTTGGGGTCCCCCCCAAGGTTCTGTCCTCGGGCCCCTTCTCTTCTCCATCTACACCTCCTCCCTCGGCAAACTGATACACTCCCCGCAACATGGCTTCAAACTATCACCTCTACGCTGATTTAAATTTACCTCTCCACCCCTCACCTCACCTCTTCATTCTCTGCCCATATCACCCACCTACTGAAAGACATATCGGACTGGATGTCACTCCACTTCCTCAAACTGAACCTTTCCAAACCAAGCTCCTAATTTTCCCCCCTCTGCCCGCACCCCCCCCCCCACCTCTCCATCACGACAGACAACGCTACCATCAGTCCCACCACGCAAGCCAAGGTCGCTAGGTGTCATCCTAGACTCTAAAACCTGTCCCTTCCAACCCCCATGCCCAATCGCTGACTACCGCATGCAGGTTCCACCTCCGCAACATTTCCCCCCAAATACGCTCATTCTAACCCAGACACTACTAAAAACTCGTTCACTCCCTTATTATCTCACGCCTGGACTACTGCAACTCCCTTCTCACCGGCCTACACCAAAACAAGCTATCCCCGCTCCAGTCTATCCTGAACTCAGCGGCCAGACTCATCCACCTTACCCAACCGATCCACTTCTGCCAATCCCTTCACTGGCTCCCGATTGCCCAGTGCATCAAATTCAAACTACCAACACTGACATACAAAGCCATTCATAACGCTGCCCCAAACTACCTCACCGTCCTGATACTCAAATACCACCCTACCCCTTAATCTTCGCTCCTCGCAAGACCTCCTACTCTCTAGCTCCCTGGTCTCCACCTCCCATGCCCGAGTGCAGGACTTCTCCAGAGCTTCCCCCATCCTCTGGAACTCATTTCCCCAATCCATCAGATTGTCCCCTACCCTCCTCACCTTTAGGCGCACCCTGAAAACCCATCTCTTCAGGGAAGCCCTACCCCACCCCCACCTAACAGCTGATCCCCTCCACTCCTCACTCCATTCTATCCCCACACAGCCATCTCCTCCTGTATCACCATCCCCTCCCTCCTAGACTGTAAGCTCGAACGGGCAGGGCCCTCTAACCCTCGTGTATTGTGTATTGTTTTGCTACTGTATTGTCTCATGTCTTGTCCCCCATTCTAATGTCATACAGCGCTGAGCAAACCCTTTGGCGCTATATAAATACTCTATAATAATAATAATAATAACTACAGCAGGCTTCAGTGGGAGCGTCCAGTCCACCTGGAATTACAGTACAGAGCAAGGAGGGGGGCTTCTATGGAAAGGAGAACAAATTCTGGTACCTGAAGAAACACAAACCCTTGTCCTTGGTTAATGCCATGACCACCCATTAGCAGGTCACTTCGGGGTCTCCAAAACGCTGGAACTAGCACAGCGCACATTCTGGTGGCCAGATATGGCAGAAGACTGTAAAACCTATGTAAAAACATGCACCATCTGCAACTGAAACAAAAACCACCCAAAATAAAGCCTGGGGATTGCTCAGACCTCTGCCAGTACCTGACAGACTTTGGAAAATTATTGCAATGGACTTATAGTGGAACTTTCCCTTTCAGAAGGATATACCACTATCTTCGTGGTTGTAGTAGACCGGTTATCAAAGATTGCCCATTTTTTGCCTCTAAAGAATACCTTTGTCAGGGCTCCGGGGTGTGACCAGAGGTATGTGACTGACGCAGGGAAACGCAGGCTTCAGATATGTTATAAACAATAAGACAATTTATTAAAGACTGACAATACAAACATAAACGCAGTGCAATACTAAAACATAACACAGTGCAAACGAACCAAACCACCCACAGATAACAATATATACAATGCAAGCGTCGTCAGGCAGGCCGGGTCAATAACAATCGGGAAGTTAGGAACAGGGGGTCAGGCAGAGAATGGTCGGGGTCACAAGCCAGGGATGAAACAGGGGAAGTCAGCAGAGGTCCGGAATCAGGCAGGGTCAGCAACGAATCAGACAGAGACAGGAACAGGAACAGAAATGCAGGAACAAGATACAGGGCCCAGGAAAAACACACACACCAAGCAAGGAAAAGACTGCAGGTCTGGCCATCACTTAAATACACCTGCATAAGCAGTTTCAGGTGTTTGGCTGGCTGCAGGGTTGAGTCTCTGATTGCTGGGAGCACCCGCTGGCCAGCCCTGGTACTGCAGCCCACAAGGCAGGTGAGTCCCACCATTACTGGCCAGTCCATTCCTGACAGTACCCCCCCCTCAAGGAGCGGCCTCAGGACGCTCCAAACAGTCCTAGCTGGGCAAAATGTTCCACCGCCCGGGTCTGGTAACTGGCGGGATATCAAAGACTGGCACATCGGGCAGGACTCCGGGCAGCGGCACGGCACATCGGGCAGGACTCCGGGCAGCGGCACATCGGGCAGGACTCCAGGCAGAGGCACATCGGGCAGGACTCCGGGCAGAGGCACATCGGGCAGGACTCCGGCAGAGGCACATCGGGCAGGACACCGGCAGAGGCACATCGGGCAGGACTCCGGGCAGAGGCAAATCGGGCAGGACTCCGGGATCGGGGCAGAGGCACATGGGGCAGGACTCCGGGCAGCGGCACATCGGGCAGGACTCCGGGCAGCGGCACATCGGGCAGGACTCCGGGCAGCGGCACATCGGGCAGGACTCCGGGCAGCGGCACATCGAGCTGGACTCCGGGCAGAGGCACATCAATCTGGACTCCGGGCAGAGGCACATCGGGCAGGACTCCGGGCAGACTCCGGCACATTCGGGCAGGACTCCGGGCAGAGGCACATCGGCAGGACTCCGGGCAGAGGCACATCGGGCAGGACTCCGGGCAGAGGCACATCGGGCAGGACTCCGGGCAGAGGCACATCGGGCAGGACGACTCCGGCAGAGGCACATCGGGCAGGACTCCGGGCAAAGGCAAAATCGGGCAGGACTCCGGGCAGAGGCACATCGGGCAGGACTCCGGGCAGCAGCACATCGGGCAGGACTCCGGGCAGCGGCACATCGGGCAGGACTCCGGGCAGCGGCACATAGGGCAGGACTCCGGATCCGGGCAGAGGCACATCGAGCTGGGCAGACTCTGGGCAGAGGCACATCGAGCTGGACACTGGATCACCAGGCGGAGCAGCGAGCACCGGGCCACCAGGCTGGGCGACAGGCATCGGGACCCCAGGCGGGGCGACAGGCATCGGGCCCCCAGGCGGAGCGGCGGGTGCCAGAGCAACAGGCATCGGGCCCCCAGGCGGAGCGGCGGGCGCCGGGCCCCCCAGGAGGGGCGACAGGCATCTGGCCCCCAGGCGGGGCGACAGGCATCGGGCGCCCCCAGGCGGGGCAACAACAGGCATCGGGCCCCCAGGCGGGGCAACAGGCATCGGGCCCCCAGGCGGGGCGACAGGCACCGGGCCCCCAGAGGGGCGGCAGACACCGGGCCCCCAGGCGGGGGACGGCGGGCACCGGGTCATCAGGCACCACAACGGGCATCGGCTCACCAGGCATCAGGTCATTTGGCTTGCCAGCGGGCACCGTGTCATCTGGCAAGGCAGTGGGCACCGAGTCACCAGGCACGACATTGGGCTCTGAGTCAATTGGCACGACAGTGGGCATCGGTCACCAGGCATGACAGCGGGAACTGAGTCACCAGGCACGACAGTAGGCTCCGAGTCAACTGGCATGACCGTGGGCACTGGGTCAGACATTGGATCGTCTAACCTGACAGCGGGCATCGGGTCACCAGGCATGACAGCGGGCACTGGGTCATCAGGCATGGGATTGTCTGGCTCGACGGCGGGCATCGGTTCACCAGGTATGACAGCGGGCACTGGGTCACCAGGCATCAGGTCATTTGGGTCGCCAGCGGGCACCGCGTCATCTGGCAAGGCAGTGGGCACCGAGTCACCAGGCACGACAGTGGGCTCCGAGTCAACTGGCATGACCGCGGGCACTGGGTCATCAGGCATTGAATCGTCTGGCAAGACTGCGGGCACCGAGTCGTCTGGCAAGACTGCGGGCACCAAGTCGCCTGGCAAGACTGCGGGCACTGAGTCGTCTGGCAAGACCGCGGGCACCGAGTCAACTGGCGGAACAGCGGGACATATCGAGTCAACTGGCGGAACAGCGGGCTCGAGTCAACTGGCGGAACAGCGGGCATCGAGTCGTCTGGCAAGACTGCGGGCACCAAGTCGTCTGGCAAGACTGCGGGCACCGAGTCATCTGGCAAGACCGCGGGCACCGAGTCAACTGGCGGAACAGCGGGCATCGAGTCAACTGGCGGAACAGCGGGCATCGAGTCAACTGGCGGCACAGCGGGCATCGAGTCAACTGGCAAGACTGCGGGCACCGAGTCAACTGGCAAGACTGCGGGGCACCGAGTCAACTGGCGCGAACTGCGCGGGCACCGAGTCAACTGGCGGAACTGCGGGCACCGAGTCGTCTGGCAAGACTGCGGGCACCGAGTCGCCTGGCAAGACCGCGGGCACCGAGTCGTCTGGCAAGACCGTGGGCACCGAGTCAACTGGCGATGGCGGAACAGCGGGCATCGAGTCAACTGGCGGAACAGCGGGCATTGAGTCAACTAGCGGAACAGAGGGGCATCGAGTCAACTGGCAAGACTGCGAGCACCGAGTCAACTGGCAAGACTGCGGGCATCGAGTCAACTGGCAGAACTGCGGGCACCGAGTCAACTGGCGGAGACTGCGGGCACGAGAGTCGTCTGGCAAGACTGCGGGCACCGAGTCGTCTGGCAAGACCGTGGGCACCGAGTCAACTGGCGGAACAGCGGGCATCGAGTCAACTGGCGGAACAGCGGGGGCATTGAGTCAACTAGCGGAACAGCGGGCATCGAGTCAACTGGCAAGACTGTGCGGGCACTGAGTCAACTGGCAAGACTGCGGGCACCGAGTCAACTGGCAGAACTGCGGGCACCGAGTCAACTGGCGGAACAGCGGGCATCGAGTCGTCTGGCAAGACTGCGGGCACCGAGTCAACTGGCAAGACTGCGGGCACCGACGAGTCAACTGGCAAGACTGCGGGCACCGACGAGTCAACTGGCGGGAACTGCGGCACCGAGTCAACTGGCGGAACTGTGGGCACCGAGTCGTCTGGCAAGACTGCGGGCACCGAGTCGTCTGGCAAGACCGTGGGCACCGAGTCAACTGGCGGAACAGCGGGCATCGAGTCAACTGGCGGAACAGCGGGCATTGAGTCAACTAGCGGAACAGCGGGCATCGAGTCAACTGGCAAGACTGCGGGCACTGAGTCAACTGGCAAACTGCGGGCACCGAGTCAACTGGCAGAACTGCGGGTACCGAGTCAACTGGCGGAACAGCGGGGCATCGAGTCGTCTGGCAAGACTGCGGGCACCGAGTCAACTGGCGGAACAGCGGGGACATCGAGTCGTCTGGCAAGACTGCGGGCACCGAGTCAACTGGCAAGACTGCGGGCAACTAGCGGGAACAGCGGGCATTGAGTCAACTGGCAAGACTGGGCACGGGGCACCGAGTCAACTGGCAAGACTGCGGGCACCGAGTCAACTGGCAGAACTGCGGGCACCGAGTCAACTGGCGGAACTGCGGGCACCGAGTCGTCTGGCAAGACTGTGGCACCGAGTCGACTGGCGGAACAGCAGCAGGGCATCGAGTCGTCTGGCAAGACTGCGGGCACCGAGTCAACTGGCAAGACTGCGGGCACCGAGTCAACTGGCGGAACTGCGGGCACCGAGTCAACTGGCGGAACTGCAGGCACCGAGTCAACTGGCGGAACTGCGGGCACCGAGTCGTCTGGCAAGACTGCGGGCACCGAGTCGTCTGGCAAGACTGCAGCACCGAGTCGTCTGGCGGAACAGCGGCACCGAGTCGTCTGGCAAGACTGCAGGCACCGAGTCGTCTGGCAAGCTGCGTGCAAGACCGCGGGCACCGAGTCAACTGGCGGAACAGCGGGCATCGAGTCAACTGGCGGAACAGCGGGCTCGAGTCAACTGGCGGAAACAGCGGGCATCGAGTCGTCTGGCAAGACTGCGGGCACCGAGTCAACTGGCAAGACTGCGGGCACCGAGTCAACTGGCGGAACTGCGGGCACCGAGTCAACTGGCGGAACTGCGGGCACCGAGTCGTCTGGCAAGACTGCGGGCACCGAGTCGTCTGGCAAGACCGTGTGGGGCACCGAGTCAACTGGCGGAACAGCGGCGCATCGAGTCAACTGGCGGAACAGCGGGCATTGAGTCAACTAGCGGAAACAGCGGGCACCGAGTCAACTGGCAAGGCTGCGGCACCCGAGTCGTCTGGCAAGACTGCAGGCACCGAGTCGACTGGCGGAACAGCGGGCACCGAGTCGTCTGGCAAGACTGCGGGCACCGAGTCGTCTGGCAAGACTGCGGGCACCGAGTCAACTGGCGGAACAGCGGGCACTGAGTCAACTGGCGGAACAGCGGGCATCGAGTCAACTGGCATAATAGGATCATCAGGCTGGATCAGTTCATCAGGCTGGGTAGAAACATCAGGCTGGGTAGAGACATCAGGCTGAATGGAGGCATCAGGCTGAATGGAGGCATCAGGCTGAGTGGAGGCATCAGGCTGGGTGGAGGCATCAAGCTGGGTGGAGGCATCAGGCTGAATGGAGGCATCAGGCTGGGTAGAGGCATCAGGCTGAATTGTGGGCGCCGATGGCACCAGGCTGCACCATGGAAGGCAGGTTTCTCAGATGGGAGGCTGACCGTTTTGGATACTGGCAGGATGGTATTGGTTGGAAAGAACTTTCGCCTTTTCCTGGTTTTAGTTACCGGAGTACTGTAAGTAAGCGCAGGTTTTGTAAATGGATGGAGCAGCTGGAGACAGAGAAGAGCTGGAGGATGGAACAGGGGAGGGAACAGTTGCTACAGAGGGCTTCTTTACAGGGTTAAAGGCAGGATAGGGTGCAGCGAGTGGGAACAGGGTACTGACATGCGGTAGATAGCAGGGTATACTGGGCTGTAACTGGAGGTGCTGTTGGGAAAGCAGGAATAGAGCTTTGAAGAAATAGATTTGAAGCAGGACTGGGTTTTTGCAAGCTGACTGAGGCTGGGTGCAACAAGTCTGACCATGTCTGCAGTATGGGTTGAACAAAGCTCAGCTTACACAAAGCCTGTCTGACCAAAGACTGCACTGCGTTTATACAATCCCTTAATACCTGTGGTGAACATGCAGCATAATGCTCCAAGAAGTAATCCACATCATCCTCTAATAACCATACCAGGGACTCTACCTGGTCTGCACTAAATGGCGGCAAAAATTCATCCCTGCATTCGGGGGTACCAGATGAAACCAACTCAGCACAAACCTGAATCAATGGCTGCACCTCAGAGAATTCTGTGCCCTGATCTACTAGAACATGAGCGATCCGTATACATTCTAGCAGTTCATCCCGGGGATACTCCTTCAGAGTTTGATAAGCATACTCTCTGTCATCAAACACTAGCAGAGATAAATACACAACCTCATCAAGATCCATCCTTCCCAGCAACAAGCCAAGATGGCTTCCCTGTGCAGCCACTTCTGGTCAGGATTGGCCTTGGTGTAATGTCAGGGCTCCGGGAGTGTGACCAGAGGTATGTGACTGACGCAGGGAAACGCAGGCTTCAGATATGTTATAAACAATAAGACAATTTATTAAAGACTAACAATACAAACATAAACGCAGTGCAATACTAAAACATAACACAGTGCAAACGAACCAAACCTACCACCCACAGATAAAAAATATATACAATGCAAGCGTCGTCAGGCAGGCCGGGTCAATAACAATTGGGCAGGTAGGAACAGGGGGTCAGGCAGAAAATGGTCGGGGTCACAAGCCAGGGATGAAACAGGGGAAGTCAGCAGAGGTCCGGAATCAGGCAGGGTCAGCAACGAATCAGACAGAGACAGGAACAGGAACAGAAATGCAGGAACAAGATACAGGGCCCAGGAAAAACACACACACCAAGGCAAAGACTGCAGGTCTGGCCATCACTTAAATACACCTGCATAAGCAGTTTTTTCAGGTGTTTGGCTGGCTGCAGGGTTGAGTCTCTGATTGCTGGGAGCACGCCACCCGCTGGCCAGCCCTGGTACTGCAGCCCACAAGGCAGGTGAGTCCCACCATACATTACTGGCCAGTCCATTCCTGACAACCTTACCGCTTCTGAGACTGCTCGGAGTCTTCATCAAAGAAATTGTCAGACTCCATGGAATTCCTATAAACATTTGTCTCAGAGCGGGGGGTACAATTCACATCGAGATTCTGAAGGGCACTATGTGAGACCCTGAAGATCGAGCTGTCTTTTTTCTTCAGCCTATCACCCACAAACCAAAGGACAGACCAAACAGACTAATCAGACTCTGGAGCATCTGGTGTTTAACACGTCTTTTGTCCAAGATGACTGGGTATCACTCTTGCCCCTGGCAGAGTTTGCATACAATAACTCCAGCCATTCTGCCACCAAACAGTCGCCTTTTTTTTCTAATTATGGGTTTCACCCTACCTTTTTACCTGACCTGGTGCCGGAGACTTCTGTCCCTGCTGCCAAGACACGTTAAATTTCTTTGTTACTAACAATAAATTGTTACAGGAGACCGTCACAAAAGCCCCAGGAGGACAACGAGGAGGGTCTTCGACAGAAGGAGAAGGGGAGAACTGATTCTGCACCCAGGAGACCAGGTCTGGCTTGCTACAACCAATCTAAAGATGGCATGCCCTTCGAGGAAGTTGGCACCAAAATTTGTGGGACCATTTCCGGTAAGACGCAAAATGAATGATG